GGTTCGAGGCCCGCGCCCGCCTCAGGCCGCGCGGGGCCGGGGGAAAGGCGAGGAGTAACGCGGTTGATAGGTCAGCTTTTAAACGGAACAGCTACGGAGATACAGTTACCTCCTTAGATCCACCCTTCTCAACTAAACCATTCAGCCTAGAAACAAAAACCACAGAAAAAAGGCACTTCAGCGGTAGAGGACAGGGTGTACAACACGTCACGCCCTGCGGCTTGACCTCATCTCGGTTTCACCGTGACAGGACAACGTCAGTTACAGGACTCTGTCGCCAGGGAGCATTTAACGTTATTAAACGGAGCAGTGAGATACAAAGCACCCGCTGGACGCTTGAGGCTGGCTGCAAGAGTAGGGGGAGCAGAGCAGCACAGCCGGCACCCGGCCCCACGTGCGGCGTGAACGCCACCGGTGGGAAGGAACAGCGGTCACTACAGAGTTGTGTTGATCACTACCATTCTTGAACCAGAAGCATGCTAAAAGCCTAAAGCCACTGAAATTGCCTCACCGGGAAGACCAGCAGAGTGAAGAGATCATTTGGAATTATGAAAATAGGCTAAACATTTCAGACTTTCACACATTCCTCAGCGTTTCCACTTAATACAGTAAAATAGTTCAGTTGGAAGGGACCTACAGCTGTCGTCTAGTCCAACTGCCTGACCACTTCAGGATTCATTTTCCTTCGAGTGTTAACAAACCTTTAGAACGTTCGTCCCATTCCAATTTCTAAGATTTTATGCAGGTAAATGGCAGGTACGAGTTTCTGTACATTAGCCATGTGCCTTATTCACTGAAGTTCCACAGAAAGGACAGCGGATGAAAAATAAGCTTTCAGTGACTGAAATTATTATTTTCCTGTAAGACTGTTAGAGGAATGTAGCTGTAAAGAAAACAGAAACTGTATTCAGTGAGGAACAGTCATTTTATTTAAATCTCCTTCATGCGTAAGCATGATAGAACCCCAGTTTAACTTTGGCAAATATCACAACAAAAAAAACCAAGCAGCCTATACAGAACAGTGAAAATGCCAAGGATATGGGTTCTCCACAGTTTCACTGCAGAGCAAATGGATTTAGAAGCCTCACTTTGGCTACATCATTTATAACCATATAATTAAATAAAGGTAGTCTTTCACTATTACTTCTTGACTTCTCCAAGATCTTCAATGCTATCATCATCCACCTAGAAAAAAAAAAAAAAAAAAGGCCAAAACACAGCGCATTAGGTATTTTTCCTTCTTACATGTCTCACTCAGTATTCACCACTATACATGCAATGAAGCGTGGTAGAAGTATACAGCACCATCCGAGATTCCCTGCTGTAAATTCTGTGTGCCTATAGGACACAGCCACACCTATGGGGCTGTGAATAAAGACAGGCCTACAGAGTTACTGCAGAAAGAACTACAGTCAGGAAATACCAGAACAAAGGAGAGTCAAAGAAAGCGCTTCTGATTACAGCAGCGCAACCAAACCGCTCAACCATTGATGTTTCAGACCAACCCCAAATTAGCTAATCTCTTCTTCTGAGGCACAAGTGTGTGGTTTTGGTTGTTTTGGGGTTTTTTGGGGTTTTGTTTTTGTTTGTTTGTTTTTTGTTTTGTTTTGTTTTTTCTTAATTTTGCAGTATTTTAAGATATATGGAAAAACAGGATGGCAATGTAAGAATACTCAAGCATTCACCGTTAAGAAACGGTCACAAAGAAGTCACAGCTATTTGGCAGTTGGACTTAACCTGACATACCTTCCTCATTGTAGTATCCATAGTAACAGCACTACATGTTTAGGGAGTTAATGTGTCTTGGACAATGGAAGCAACATTTGACTTCAAGTTTAATCACTCCATAACCTAGTCGTTCACAGGTGGGAATGCAACAACTGGTCTTTTAATTTTGCAAAACAATCTGTGCTGCCAAAGGTGAAACCCTTTTTCAAAATCATCTGAAAGTCACAGGCTATTGTGGAAAACCAGAGTTCTGACAAAGGAAAGTGTTTATTACCTCAGGCCACTTCTCCTGGATTACATCAATAATGTCATCTGTAAAATCCCCCTGAATGATGATTTCGTCTTCTCCCGTTACTGAGGCACCGCAGGAAAATTTCTGAGCAAAAAACCTTTGTGCTTCCTTAAGATCAATTTCTGTTGATGGGAAAATGGACAGTTTAAGTATTCATTTCATACACACATTTTCCAAAGTTTAAAACCAAAATCTTGTTTTAACTGTTGAAAAACTAGTGGCAGTGTACAGTTAAAGCTTTGCCACAGTTTCCATTGAAAGCAAAAGTCTGTTGTTTACATACAACACAACTGACTCTACAAATCTAGAAAACTCTTCAAGGTAAAAATCACTGTATGTCCTCTACACATTCCATTTACGCAGGTCTATGCTACATGCACTCACCAGAAGAGCACATGCAGAACTGTTTAAAAAGCACCTCCAGTTCTGAATAACTTCCATAGTTATTGAACAAGTTTTTCCATAGAAGTACTTCAGTATGTTCTTTTCAAAAACTTCTCCCAACAGAGACTGAGATTGGCTTCCAGCACAAAGATATATACGTAGTTCGGATCAAGCTAGTGCATACCACTGATCCCTCAAGAAAACTGACAATACTCTCATGCAGGAAATATGTAACATATCTTGTTCATACAACCAAGGTTAAAAACTTATCTTTTTAACAGAATTCATGATCAATGTGTGAAGTAAGATATTGTTATAAACACCAAGTGGCTGTTTGCAGCTGAACCAAAGCTACGTAGGAGAGCACTGTTAGTGTATGTTGGTAGTAATTTGCCTGCCCTGCTAGAAAGGCAGTTAAAGCCTTACATAGTCTCAAGAACAGGTAAAAATAATTGTCAGTAACGTATTTACAGGCTTGATGGAAATAAGCATCTTTTTGAAAATAAATATGTTTGTAATTAAAGACAATGGACTACTCTGAAGTCTAACAAGCGGGCTGCTATGGGAAGCCCTGTTTCAAAAAAAACCTGTAACTGTTTGCAAACACCGAGGAAATAAGGACTTTAGTAATTTATCACTGAGGGAATTCAGTGTACCTTTGGCAAGCTTTGGAACTGCTAAAAGCACCGTGGGACTTCCACCTCACACAGATGGAAGGAGATCACTCAATGTAATACAATCAGAAGAAATATAAAGTTAAAGGCAAGCACATCTAAACCCAACAAAAAACACATTAGAAAAGTCAACTCACCAAACGTTGCCAGGCCACATACTCTTGTGACATATTTTTTCTTTGCTCTAGGAATTTTAGCTATTGTAACTTTCTGTGGTACAGTCTTCTTTTTCTGTTTTATCTGACCTCTTCCACCTTTAAAACGAAGTATAAAGTCACATAATTAGTTAAATGATGTCACACTTAATCAAAGACAAAATTATGTAAGATCAGATTTCATCCCTATAAACAAAGAAACTGTTACCTCCCCATCTGTATTCACAAACAAAAACATATTTTGCACATTGTCCCACACTTAGGACCCCAGTATGAACCATATATCTATATATAAGCTAACAGAAAACACCACGCCTCTGAAACAGAAGCCAGCTATAGTAGTTGACTGCCAAACTTCCACATGATTTAACATCTTCTATCTTACTGTCTGTTTCTAGGCCAACCCGAGGGAACACTTCACATATCAGGCATTTATTAGTCCAAGTAAAGCATGTAAAAGATACACTCCGCTCATTAGGATTCTTCACGCCAGATTAAGACCTCTTAACTTTGTATACAGTCATCAAGTTACTCCAGGTAACCAAAGTTTCATGTTCTTAAGATTTCTCAGCATGAAAACCTAAAGAATTGATGACAAGCAAACTAACCCCTTGTGACTACTTTCTTTTCTAACGTGCAGCACTTCCAATTCTACATTACCATAAGTTGATATCCAGTAATTTAAGATGGTAAATTTCTGTCTTAAAATTTCTTCAGTAAATTTCTGCAGTGTCTTAGTAAGTTTTTGCTTGTTTTTCCTCACCCTCCCCTTACAGTCAGCCTAATACCATCATACTTAACACCATACCACAAGTTTTCACAAAACTTCAAATTCTAGCAGAAAATCCTTAAATATTTTAAACACTACTATTTTAAAACCAAAAACCAGACTGAAAACTAACCATGCCACCCCACACAGTAAGTTAGTGTTGAAAGAAAATGTCCTGAAGTCTCTGAGAAAAGCATCCAAGCTACAGAACTTAAATTACTGTTGTCACTACATGTAGCCTACTGACAAGTTAAACATAACTGGTTACCAAGACACAAATATAAAACATCTGCAGTGATATGTGGCTTAAAATTTGAATCTTACTGGGCTATTAGCCATAATTTCTGAAGCACTGCAGACACAACTGACACACCACAGGCAAGTGCATATTAACAAGCCCAGCATTCTGATTTATGGTGGAAAGTATGTTAATTGGTTAAACAGAAAGAACTCCAATGATAAAAGATAAAAGCATCTTTAAATTGTTTCATATATCTTCGGAAGTTGTTTTTTTAAAATTTTTTTCATTGCTGGGAAGAGGCACAGCTGTTAACAGAAACATAGGTGATAGTGTTAAAAGCATAAAACCAAATCCAGTTACGTGAATACAGAGGAGGGGTGGAAGGAAAAGAGGCAAAAGCAGTGTCGTGAGGCATTAACAGAGGAAAGCAGTCTTTGTTCTGCTCTGCAAGCAACCTACAAACTGCTGTTAAACAGGGCAGAAACAAGTATTCCAGAAGGCATGCCAGCTGATTTTAGGTTGAGAAGAATTACTCCCTGAATAAGTGCAGTAGCAACGACAGGAGATGACGCATGAGACACACGACGCAGGTCATCTTTCACTTGCTATTACTGCTGTTCAATTCTTTCATGAGCATATATCACCACACTAACTCTGCTACCACGGGAAGAAAGATACTCGGTATCTTTTGCGCAGAGTCAAAGTATAGCTAACAACTGAGATGCAAGGAATCCATGCCACAGTCCAGGACAGCAGGTGAAAAAGGGATGCTCCAAACTGCTTATAAATCAGTACCACAATCAACTATTTAGACCTTGCCTCTCTTTTGCTTCTTCTTCTCCTCTTCTTCTCCCGCAGTTCCTTGGCCTTCTCCAACCCCAGCTTCCTGTTTAGGTGAATTTTCTTAAATACATCAGAAAGGAGCAGGGAGAAAAAAAGAAAACAAAATTAGTGGTCAGACAACCACAGCCTCACAGGAACAGGAAGCAAGGTACAGTGGTATTTTGCTAAATCCATAAAGTCTTTGCTTAGGTGCAGCAGCCCTGCATCTTCATTACAGTACTTATGCAAATTAGATTTCAGAAAAGCCTTGGCTTTAAGATACAGTTACAATTCAATACAGTCTCTTCACATAATTTCCATGGAGAGGCAGAAATTAATGATAGTGTTAATATTGAAATACCAAATGCAAATCAACAAGCTCCCTATTATTACCTTTCCTCCAGCCATCCACAGTAGACTGGGCAGATGTAAAATCTGATAAACTGACTTTGACGGGAAACAAGTGCGTGAATGACTGGTTACAGCAGGAACCTTAAGAAAGCTCAAACATTACCACTGAAACTCCACATTGTTTATTCAGCATTTTCTGACATTACCAAACATATTTTCACAGCATCAAAAAGCATGGCAGACTTCTAAGAAAATTAATTAACTTTCACACTTGATACAGCGAGAAAAGGGAAGAGATGAAAACTGGACAAGCTCAAAGATTTCTCAATATGTCTAAGGGGACATATCAGTTTGAAAACAAAAGATTCTTACCTACTGTAAGTTTTGCAAACTCATCTGGAAAATTCTTTTCTAACCATTGTCTGCATTTAGTCACATCAGGCATGTATTCGCAGTACTAGAGAAGAAAGGTCATATGAAAGTTGTTAGCAGAGTAACTACATCACAAATGCACCAAAATGGATTTACTATTCTGCTCAGCCATTTCTCCTTAAGATGACTGAATGCCAATACTATACTAGCACATAAGAAGCCGCGTGTCACCCTAAAGATGACAGTGGCTGAAGCACAGAACTGCCACAATTAAGAAAAGCCAGAAAGGATCAGAAAGAATTATCATAGTCAGGAATCATAGGACAGAAGGGAAGAAACTCACGACAACAAAAAAATTAACTCACCTCTGTTGGCAATGAACAGACTGGAGAAAGAAGGAGAAAAAAATAGATTATAAAAATAAGTTCTCCACTTACAGCCTTAGCGTTAAATTCAAAATGGTATTTTAAAGTTAGAGATGGCTTCTGATGTCATAACTTCTGGTTACAACTACACACTGACTTAAAAAGATTACTTTTTTGATAGCACTCCACATCTTAATTTTTCTCTCATTAGTCATTTGCTCATGTGCTCTGCATTAGGATAAAACCATCATAGCAAGAGCAGTCAGTCAATGAAGAGACGCCTACAGCTTTGGGAAAAGTTACAGAAAGAAACACCAGTTCCACCTCAGGCAAAAGATATACCTAATAAATTACCACATGATTTGGTGAGCTTTCTTTTTTCCAAAAGCTGCCAATGTCGAGAAGAGGGGCTCAGCCCCAGAACAAGCCCAAACCAACTGTGCAGACTTTCACGCAAAACGGGGATTCTTTCCTAATCCCCTGTAACTGTATTAAAGCCCAGAGCAAAATAACATACCTATCTAAAAACCATACCTGTCAAGATTATTTTCTTCCCTTTAAAATTTATCCACGCAATTACAAATGTAATGAGTAAAGAATAATTTCATAAGTTCTAACTTTATTTCTTATTGTCATACTAATGCTCAGAGGCCTCTTCTGTGCTAAAGTCTTTACTGGCTTTCTGCAGGAAGAGATCTCTGCTCAACAGTTGACACTCTGAGCACCACTCCCGCTAATGTAACTTTTACACACAGAAAGCTCTTAGTACCTCCTTCTCTCAGAAGGAAGCCCCCCTACATTTCACTAAAAACGCTTTAGATAAAATACACCACACAAGCTATTTCAGAAAGACAATCAGAAAGGTCAAGCTGACTGTGGTCTAGCTTCTCAATAAAAGCTGACCAAAAGAAAATCTCCGCTTCTCATTCTCAGCCTCATTCTTTCTGCTAGGCTGCCCTCACAAACAGTGCATTGTTAAGAATAGTGGACAACTGCCCCTTCAGCACTTGCCTCCGCAGTAGAGAACCCGAAGAGGATAGTCAGCATCTGACCTGGCACCACTCCTTACGTCTCCTCTGCAGTCAGGGACCACAGGCTCAGCTACATCTGTGGCCATGTCACAAGCCTGGAGGTCACAGAACAAAAGAATCAGGACCCAAGTTCTGCATTAAAGTTATTCACATCTTTCCCAACTCAACAAGAATCCCAAAGACTGACAAATCCCAGAGAAAATAGGTACAATTGTAAGAAGAGCAAGAGAGATCAGGGAGGAAAAAACAGGATTCAAGAAATATTGAAAAAATATGGGGAAAATGACTGCAAAAGATACCAAGATACCAAGCAGCATGGAATTCTAGCACATAACGGGGAAAAACCCAAAGTGCCACAGCGTAAGATGAAGAAAGATTTGCAAGAACAACACATGGAATCACAGAACGTACTGGGTTAAGCAGGACATGAAGTATCATGTTAAGTCAGCAGCATGTGAACAGTAGGTGCACTGGGGGAGTAGGAGGAGGTACTGCCAGTGTACCAGCAAAGAAAGGGGGTCATTCAAATCAGTGTCTGAAGAACTACAATCTCATCCCAGGACAGTGGCAAAAAAAACCCAAACAAGCAAACCAAACTCAACCTGCTAATACAACTCATAATGGCTTACATGCACATATATTCAGACAAGGGGCATAGAAAATAGGAGTCAACAGGAAAGGGGCTTGCAAGGCATGAGAAGTCCCCCAGGATGACGGGAGCAGGGAGGATCTGTGTGCAGAAGACTCAGAGCCAGGATGCTGTACAAGCTCTGCCCGGGCAGTGACGAGAGCAGAGGGAAAATGCCAGGGTGCCACAGGCGGTGGAGTTCGTGGTAGGGGACCGCAGGGAAAGGCGGTAGACGGTCACGGTGAGGGGAAGAATGCTGGAGCACCCATGAAGATCCCAAACGGGGGAGGGAGGGTGCTAGGTAGTAGGGGGGGAAAGCGAGGGCAGGCCGGGGGGAAGGGGAGGGGTGCTGGCGTACCAGACGTGACGGGGATCACAGACTCGGTGTGATGGGGGGCAGAGCTGAGGGAGAGGAGGGGGCCGGGGACCGACGGGGGGGC